AGGGCAAATGATGAAACTGACTGTGCCCGGAGTTCTGTCAAGCATACTAAGCAAGCAAACTGAAAAATAGGGGTTGCTTTTTTTCCTTTCAGTTACCGTAACCTTTGGCCTTACTTCTAGCAATAGTAGGTATAATATTTTGCAGCAAATCAGTGATTGGGGCCTATTTAAATTTAAAAACACCCACCTGTTTCAGACAGGTGTTCAATGTGCTTTTTATTTGTATGACTCAGTTCTCACCCCTGAAAATGTAATCAATCACAAATGGGACTGAAAAAGAAAATAAGAATTCAATTTTGTAAAATACTTAATTCAACATTATGACAAGACTCAGGTTCAGGTATTTTGAATTTTTTCATAAAGTGCCACAAAAAGGCCCACAACCCACACACATGCACCCTTTCAGAGTACAGTAGTTAAGTGGCAAAGCCAACACAGGCTGTTAGAGACCCAGCTCAAGTCCATGCACTGCCTGTTTTGGTGCAGTGCCTCAACCACTAGGTTATTGTGGGTTGGGTAGATTGTGACTGGAAGTGCCATCCTGCACCTGAGACACCTGATGAAATTTACACTGGAACTAGTAATGGTTCCAGCTGTGGTTTAGCTTTGATGAACCATTACCTTTTGGAAAAAAAGCATTCTGCTGAAAAAAATTCCTACCCAGCTCTAAATATGAGTGAGTGGATTTACATCCATTGCCAGACAACTTTATTCATGGTAAAGTGAAATAATACATAAAATGTTAATATAATATTTTAATTACTTTGCTTGCACTCATCTCAATCATGCAGTCCGAGTGTTGATCACTACATCCACAAGTTTTTTAAAGAAGCATTAAATTGACAAAAAGGGACTCAACTCTGAAGGGCTAGGGACAAGTTACACATAAACTGGATTAAGTGATCAGAAACCAGTTGAAACCTGTAACAAAACAGAAGTTCAGTGCACATAAATTGCTTTCAAAATGGCCAAAACCAGTTTAAGATAAACTTTGTTGGATGTAGTATCAGGCTTAACTGATTTAGATCAAGCTGGTTGATGGAACTTCTGTCCTAGATCTCCTCCCAATTCAAGTTAACTCAGTCCCCCAGCATCCCAGGGTGCTTTGCAGCCCTGGCTATGCTGTGCCATCTGCTCCAGCAGAGTAGTGTCTGCCCCACCCTTCTGCTCCCTGGCCAGAGCAATATCACTGCTCCGGCTGGCAGAGAAGGGTAGGGGGGAGCCCTAGCACCAGACCCCAGCTGGGGTCTGCCTGGTGGGGAGAAAGGGAGGAAGGAAGCCCTCCGAGCCTTTTGTCCCCCTCCCTGCCCGAGCCTCTGAAGGCTTATCCCTCCCTTCCCCCCAACCTCCAGGCGTGGCTGGTGCCTCCTGAGTCTCATGGGGTGCACAATTTGTGGGTGGTCCCAGGGCCAGGCCAGAAGCCCCATATCCATTTCTATATTTCTGTGCCACGGCTTAGTGCCACCCCCCAACATGCCGCTGGCCTGTATGGCAAAAAAACTGCCCTGTCCTTAGCGGTGCTGAGTCAGGGACCAATCTCAGGGGGAGCGTGCCACCCCCCTCCCCCATACTCCCCCTACCAGTTGCCTGTGCCAACCTCCCACCCCCTGCCAGGCAGATCCTAGCTGGGGTCTGTGCAGGCCAGGGTGGAAATTTAAACACCCCCTTCACATACGCAGCCAGCTGGGTTGGGCCAAGTGCTTGCCACACCTCCCCTCTCCCCTCAAGCAGGGAGGGAGAAAAAACCTCTGAGGGCCCTTGCAGTTTCCCTCCCTTCTCTTATCAGTGGCTGGTGGACTGGGAGACATGCTCTTTCGCCACCCAGCTGCTGGTATGGGCCACTGCAGGGGTCTGGCTGCCTTTCCTGTTTTAAAAGTGAATTTCTGTTCACTTGCTTATTGATTCAATTTACACACTGAATCAATTCAGCCTTGGGCTTTTTGACTGTCAGTACTTAGCCAAGGTGCATAACTGCAGTATCAAAAGTATAAACTTCTTCATAAGGATACATTTCAATTAAGTAATATTTACCACATGCCGTATATAGTTCATTAGAAATAGTAGACTAAATCATTTCAACAGCCCCTTGCGGTAAGTAATTACAGTATATGCCATCATATTTTTTTAGACAGGGAAATTTAAGTCACAGACAGGCTATCCAGTATGTCTAATAGCACATGCCAATGTCACCATCCTGTCTGGGTAGAGATTGCTAGAGCTAAAGTCAATGGCAGAAATAAGACCTTCAGGCTGTAAGTTCATGATTAGTGCTTTTGTGTTACCATAAGTTTGAGGATGATAATAAACAGAGTTTTCAAATTCTTTATCTCTTGAAAATCAAAATTAGCAAAAATCATCCTGACTGAATGACACAAGTCCAGGCAAAACTGTCTGCACTTGTGTGTCTTGTAATAGTGCTAAGCTTAGAAAAAAATAGCTCTGGTGACTGTGAAGTTTGCCCTCATTTTTCACCAGGAAACTGATTTACCTGTTTTTTTCTTTTTTTCTTTTTTTTTTTTAAGATCTGACGCAAGTTTGTCAAAGGGAGGTGTTGGGGTGTAGTTGCTGTTGATTGGTTCATCTGATACACTCCCATTTGTCTTTAAATCATTCTCCAGCTCCAGAAAGTCTCATATGAGCACATTTTCTGTTACAGGTGCAATTCCTAAAAGATACTTTCTGCTTAGAAAGCAAGATTACCTGTTTGACCTGGAGGTAAACCTAAAAAATGTATCTTTGCAAAACTTACTAGTTTTATCTTATACTACTTCTACTTAATATATGTTTAAGCTGAAGAATTAGAAAAAATAACCCTGTGAAAGTGTTCTTCATTCATTAGTACAGGTAAACGAAATGTGAAAGACTGGCAGTTAAGATTGGCTATAGTTGTAATTTGCATTCATAGGTATGTTTGTTTTTATATCAGGCAGAAATTCAGTCTGTGTTCTGGGCAGAAAATCAAAGTCTAAGCAAGTAGAAAAGTAGCAGGAAGTTTCCAAATTTGACCAGATAATTAGGAATGATATGCTTGTGTTCGTTTGGAGCCTTTGGCTAACTGTTGAGAATTTTTATCAAAACTCTTGATTTATTTGGCTAACATTCAAGAAAGTAAATGAATTTGTGAAAGCAAGTTGTGCATTTTAGTTGTTGATTTGCCTAAATATCACAACTAGGGCTTTTTCTTTCAAACTGCTGTAGAAACGTTAGTTCTTTAAATTGACTGCCCTGGAGACTTAGAAATAAGAAAATCTGCTAAAGCAGATATAGTGATGGGGCAAGTCACCTTGTACATTGTAAAATGCATAAAATGTAAGTTAGTTTTATCTTGTTTTATTTGCTTGTCTGATAAACCAAAACTCATACTGAATTTAACTCAATACATTTTCTGAAAGCATTTTAGAAAAGTATATCCTGCTCTAAGGCAGAGTAAATGAACAAGACAATTTGAGAAAAATGGTACTTCACTAGGATGCATAATTTCTCCAGAAGGAGGAAGAAGTATTCTTTTACATCCAGTGTTTCCACATTAATGCTGGTATACAAAAAGAAAAAAAATCCTTTCCTTACAATTAAACTAAACTGGAGGAAGCATAAAGGAAGGCATGGTATAGCTGAATTTAAAGGAAATAATTAATCTAATGGATAGACAACCGGTAGGGGATGCACAGGGGTTCCCCTGATGGAACCGACAGCCAACACTGATGCTGTCGGCAGGGCTGGTGCCTCCCTGACAGGGCCGTGGCTGTCGGCAGCTTCTGCAGGTGCCCCACCAGATTCAGGAGGCACCAGTCACTCATGATCTAATGGGCTTTATCTTACGTGTAAGCATAAGGATGAAATGGCAGCAATCATAATTAAGAGAAAGGAGGTGTATACAGAATTCAGAGTTGTTCCATATTTGTGTCTGCACTTTTAATTTGACTTTGTAAAAGAAAAGAGATTAGCAAAATCCTAAAGGGGCAAAAAGAAAGATGGAAGTTCTGAAAACGGAGCCTTGAAAGTATTTGCATGTCTTAAATGCATTAGCCTTGAAGCTTTGGAAGTCTTAGCCTGCCTAATCCAAAATTCTGATCCCCAAAATCCTCACTCACCTGCCACCTAATAACAGAAGTACCTAAGCTCCAAAGATGCTTTCACTCTTCATTTTGGTGAAGTTTCTCAGGCATCTTGAGTTGTTCCTCTGCACCTGACTAGAACTGCCCCGATCTTGACAGGACTGAGCAGCTCAGCAGCTAGCCCATGCCTAAGCCTGCCTCACATGCAGGAACTAAGTATTCCTCTCCCTAAATTGCTTGAAGGGCTTAATCTAGCAGAGATTGTCAAATACATCTAATATGCAACCAACAGCATTGGGCTTCACATAAAATGCAGCTGCAGCCACCGTTTTCTTTTAAAGCGTGTCTAAAAGAGGAGATGCAAATTGAGATCTTTTCTTTGATTAACAAAAATCTAGGGTTAGCCCAGGAAGTAGAAATCCCAGGATCAATTCCATAATAAACCAGAGGGGATTCAAACCTAAATTTTCCAAAAGACTGGTCTAGAGGTAGATGGAGGGGAACACTCTGTTGCACAGCTGAAACCGTGATTGGGCAGCGAAGAACTAAAGATGTATTATGCTAGAGTAGGGCCAATCAGTAACCATCAGCTTCCTGATTTGGCCCATGTTCCCTGTTCTGCTTTTCACTGTGGTTGCACTGATCCTTTCCAACTGTTCCAGCATTCCTGTTCTGGCTGAAGGGCTGCTCTCCTCCACACTGCAGCCTCTGGTCACTGTTGCTGCTAAATCAGCTGCTCAAAATGTTCACTCACCATGCCTGTCAGCAGCATATGTTTTGGCTGAGGCTGTATTATGGAGATGAGAGAGTACAGAGATGGGCCAGAGGGGAATGGTGGTCCATGGCACTGTTGTGTCTCAAGCTGTAGGGTGTTGTGGTTATAAGTTGCCAACCCCTGAGCTAGAGAAAGTGCAAAAGGAAGCGTGACTATAGCCTTGCACTCACCTGGGATGGAGAAATACTGACTTCCAATATCTCCTTCTGGGATGGTGTCTGTAAAATAGATTGTATAATGTAAAATAAAGTGCAAGATTTCAGTAAGTATGACAAAAGCCCAGAGTAAGGAGAACTCAGAATAATGTCATTTCCAATATTTTCCTCTTTACAATTTTCAACTAAGCACTCACATAACTGTGCAGAGATGAAGTCCTTCTCACTGAAGCCTTCTCCTGTGAGTAGTCATGCACATTACACAATGGATTTGTATAAGATAGTTTGGATAGTGATGATCAGGCAGGGGTTTGGACTAGATGACCGGTGGAGGTCCCTTTTAACCCTACTTCTATACGAGTCTATGTCCTCAGTAACTTGGGGTTAGTAAGTGTTTTCCCCAAACCTGAGATTTCTCACAAGCCCGGAGTGTCTCATATTTGGGTTTGCAAGATGGGCCAAGGAGAAATGGATTTCAAAAAGTTAAGGGCTTTGTTCTCTAGATCAGGGGTGGGCAAAATATAGTGTGCCCGCCAACTGACTGGATCCGGCCTGCAGCTGCCCCCATGGTGCTCCACATGAAGCCAAGCCCCACCCGCTCCTGCAGGGCAGCCCATGCTGTGCTCTTGCTGGTCCGGGCCCTGGCCAGCATGCAGCTTCTGGCGGAGCTGTTCCCAGTGCTGCTGCAGCTGGCCAGGTGTTCCTCTACTCCCCTCACCTCCAGTGGGAGCTGCCAGGCTGAAGCTTTCTCTCCGCCTGCCTGCCCAGGGCAGTGCAACAGGGGCAGGAGAAGGAAGAGGAGTGCCCACTGAAGATGAGGAGAGCACATCTGCACCAGACTGGCTGCAGCCACACTGGAAACAGCCCTGCTGGAAGCTGCGTATTGTCTGGGGCCTGGCCCGACAGCTATTCTGCTCCCCTTGCCTCCGCCTGCAGCTACTACTGCTGCTCCTGCTCCTGCCATGCCACACCGGGCAGGCAGGTGGGGTGGAAGCTTTAGCTGGGCAGCTCCTGCTCAGTGCATTCAGCTCTAGCTCCCACCTGCCTTCTACCTGCTCCACCCACCTGTTGTGATGAGCAGCCATCTGCAGGTGGGCAGAGTGGGTGGAAGGTGGCCTGAAGCCAGAGCTCCATGAGCTGGGCAGGAACCACCCAGCTGAGGCTTCCCACCTGTCTGATCCACAGCCAGCATGCACAGCTTCCAGTGGGGATGTTCCTGGTGTGGCAGCAGTCGGCCGGGTGCTGCTGTGCACCCTGCACCTCCCACCAGCTGGCTGCAGCCCTGCTGGGAACAGCCACACCAGAAGCTGCATGCTGGCCGAGTCCCAGGCTGGGGCCAAGATCAGGGCTGGGGCTGTGGGGGCCGGGGCTAGCGGGTGTGGATGCGAGCACGATATGGCCATGCAGAGCACTGTGGGGGCAGCCACCAACTAGGAGAGCTCTGCTGCATGCACCCCCTACCTCCCCTCACCCCTGGCTGGCTCCCAGGCAGCCCCCTCCCACACATGTGCATGCTTCCTCCACACACCCCCATACACCCCCCAGCACTCCCTCCCTCTCCTCACCCCCAGAAGGCTACAGACAGTCCCCTCTTCCCCACACACATGCACACATGCCCCTTCCACACACCCCATACAGCCCTTCTTCCCCTGCATGGGGCAGGACATGCAGGGAGCAGATAATACCTGTCCTGCTCCTGAACACTGTTCCCCACCCATGAAGCCCCATAGGGAGTTTTGGCGAGTTGCTGGGGATGGAATTGCTGACCCGGTCCACAGCAGCTCATCAAAACTCTCTTTCTGGCCTGTAGGTCTAAATAATTGCCCGCTCCTGCTCTAGATGCTGATGAAGGTCAATGGAGCTGCCTGGTCAAACACTGCACTCATTAGCAAGTGCTTGAAGGACTTGAACATAAAACCAATTGTGGTTCTACACCAGTAGTTCTCAACCTATTTAGACTCTAGGCACCCCTCAATGGACTCCTTAGAAAATGCCAGCTCCTAGTTTTTCACTTGTTTTTTGACTATGGAAGAATAATAGAGCAATTCTTCTGTTGCAAAGAACTCAGGAAGACCACAACAGCTCAGAATGGCTTTTAATACTATGGATTTGCATTCACAGGTATGTTTGTTTTTATATCAGGCAGAAATTCAGTCTGCGTTCTGGGCAGAAAATCAAAGTCTAAGCAAGTAGAAAAGTAGCAGGAAGTTTCTAAAATTGACCAGATAATTAGGAATGATATGCTTGTGTTCTTTTGGAGCCTTTGGCTAACTGTTGAGAATTTTTATCAAAACTCTTGATTTATTTGGCTAACATTCAAGAAAGTAAATGAATTTGTGAAAGTAAGTTGTGCATTTTAGTTGCATTTTGAAATCTCAGGGTTTATCTTCTGAATCATGTTTGCACACTTAACAGTGCTAACATTGCATGGCACCCTGTAGCACCCTTGGAAGGATCTTCAGGCACCGCAGCATGCCATGGTACCTTGGTTGAGAATCGTTTTTTACACCAAAGGCCTGATCCTGCAAACATTCATGGACACAATTATAATCCATTCAGACTACATGCACACAGGCTGGCTCAGATTTTGTGTTGGTACTTATGCCCTAAGACATATTTCTGTCACTTTCTTCCTTCTTTTCCATATATAGTACAGGCTGTCCAGTATCACACAGAATTTCTCTCAGCTTAATCCATCAGTAAATTAATTCATGGCAACATTTTTGCTACATTGTTTCCTCACCCTTCAACTAAGAAAATGCATGTATTGAAATGATACTTGTTGGAAGAAGATTTTTGTAACAAGCATTTTTATTGTGCACAATGGGGATTTTCTTAGGGATGATCTTGCTTTGAGCAGGGGGTTGGACTAGACCTCCTGAGGTCCCTTCCAACGCTAAGTTTCTGTGATTCCTTATCATAGAGGTTTTGGTGGGAAGTTTTGGATCACTTAGTCTGATTTGTCTAATTTTTAGCTACAGATTAAAAATAAACATTTGGAACCTGTGTCAACCTGGTTCCCATAGGGGAAAATATCTGGTTTTAGAGATACTGCTATGAATGAATATGCCCTTGTGTCAGAAAGGACCCAGTTCTTTAATTTCTTCAATGAGAGGACAGAATCTGGCCCTTGGAATTCAAGCCTGCCTGGCTCTCTCTGACCCAATGCCAGATTCATTAATCAGTCTCAGTTTCAGTGCTGGAGAAGTGGCAGAAAGGAATAAACAGCAGCTAACTCAGGTAGGAAATTGCATAAAACAGTGTGATATTCCTTAGCTTTCAGTTGTTATATCAAGACTATTATTTCCAGGAAAAAATCAAGTCATTTACTGTAGTTTTTGACAGAAGGTGAGTCCTAGCTTCCCATGCTGGTGTTTAAAGTTTACATTTGCATGGTCTGTACGTGAACTGTTATGTTGTGCTGCTATAAATAAACTGGAGACTCTACACTAGTTTGGGCATGGCATGTTTATGGCAACATAGAGTAATAAAGTTTCAGTAATCAGCTAAACATTCTGGAATGCAAAACCTGGAGAGTTTGTAATGAGTAATTGCAGTGTTGGAGCTAGAATGAAGAAAAAATAGAAAATATTTGTTGCACTGTGTTTTTAAATACTGTTTTTTATTATACAGCATTTATGTGCATTTAACTGGAGTTTTAAGAATACAATATTTACTTTTCTAGTAAATAGTTCAACTCAGGACCTATGTACTAGACCCAATTACTGTGCTGTACTGGAAGGTAAAATGTAAAAAGTCTAAAGTATGCAGCTGTATACTCAGTTGTTGGTAGCAAGCTTTATGCCCAGTCAACCTGGATACCTGGCCCAGTAATTTCTTCATTTTGTTTCCTTATCTGTGAAATAGGAATACCCTGGAAAATCTCTCTGAGCAATTAAAAAGTGCCCTATGAATGCATAGTACTGGTGTTTTATTATTAAACATGGGAATAAGGAACAGCTATAAAAGTTACTTTGTAATTTAGGATTATCTAAGAAAATGTAGATGCAGATAAATCAGTAAAGGCAAATCCTCATAAAAATAAGTAAGATCTCTCTTAATTCTATGCTTTATGTTGGTCCATTTTTAGATGATTATTTAGATGGCTTAAAAAGTTAAAGACCCCCTGTGATGAGAGCCCACTATATCAATAGTTTGATGCTAAACTGTGTAGATATGTAAAAAAATGTACCTTTCTAGAAGTTTTGATAAATGCATTTTAAAGTCAGATGGGCGGGGGTAAAATACATTTCCTGTTACTTTCTCAATGTGTAGCAATAATTAACTAGCAATAAATGTTTCAAGAATTATTCTTCAGAGAAGCCACTTCATTGCAACATCCACTATGATGCTTAGAAAAATGAAAATACTGTTGTATTTAATCTCAGATAAAGGGGGGCCTTTTAATAATTATGCAGAATATCCTTCTATGCTAATTATTTGACCATATTCCACATACACACATCCCTATTTTATTAACCTAAAGGAAGCTGGAAGCTTTTTATATATCATTGGCTTCTGATTTCCTACCATTTTGAGACAAGCAGAGAGGACAGTGGCAATATAAAGGAGCATTGTGCTTGTATTTATCCAGAATTTTCTCAGTCCGCAGCAGTTTCCTCTCTTAATGTTATTACAAAGAACAAACACAAACTAGTCATTCACACTCATTTGTCTAATTTGAGGAAAACACTAATGAGTTCTTTTGTATTTTGTTTGCAGAACAGAGTGTTCTGAAAGTCAACACATTCTGGAGGGAACCTCTAAGCAGAAGGTGCAGTACTGTTTACCCTGAAGAAGCTTGAGTGTGTGCTGGAAAGTGCTGACAGCTCAAATGGATCGCATGGAACTGCAAAAAGTCAACATCGAACTTGATGATGAAAGCAATAGTGGAGAAAGCATTGGAGACAGCTACACTGAAACAGGAGATTCAGAAAAGGCTACTATTAGCAGGTATGCATTTAAATGTTCTTATAGGAAAGCTAAAATGAAGTAATCAGAGACTTATTAGGTGACATATTTAAATCAGTAAAATGGTTTCATGAGTATTGCCCCATCACTGTATTCTTTGGCATGACTGGAATAGAACAGTCTGGCTAGAATAGCTGGGATAGTCCAATGATGAGATGCGTTGGCAGGGTTTGTAGGGACATTTGCCAGTTTTGATTCCATACCTCATGACTCTGAACCCAGGCTGTTCAATTTCATAATAGTTCAATTCACCTTATTAATGTGAATATCTATAAATGGGGAATTGCAGCAATATTTTTACCTAAATATAAATTTTTTCACTTGGAATTGTTTGTTTACAGTTTGTGTGTTCACGTGTCTTTTAGTTTAAAAACAACTAGTTTAAGACTAAGTTCAAGACAAAGTAATGACCCCATTAAGCATGCAATTAAGAATCGAGTTTTTTATACTGGAAAGTTTTTCTGAAGCAAAACTCCCATGAAAGTCAGTAGCAGTGGTGGGTACTGATCAGCAGTAAAAATCAACCCATTTTTCAGGTGCTTAAATATAGAGTTAGGAGTATAACTTTGGGAACCACAGTTAAATATGTTATCCATTGTTTTTAGGTGATATGCCTGGCTCCAGAATTCAGTTTAACACTTAAAAGAAAATCATAGTTTCTAATTGACGCCAGAACGTGACCCAGATCAAACTTCAGGTCTAGATCCAAACATTTTTGGATAAATAAAAGCAATTAAGGTTTGGTTGAGAGTTGAAAAAAGTGCATTTTAAGGATGGATTTGAAATGAAAAGAGTATTGCTTGCTGGATGGGGTTTCTGAACGCAATCCAGATATATGTGATTTAATGGAACAAGGCATGAAAGAATGTAAATAAAAGTGCCAAGGTGTAAGATTCTGGGAAAGCAGCAAAGAACAGAGAAGGTGAGAGATGCATTCAGGTCCACAGCCTTACTTGTAGCTTAAATATTCCTAAAGCTAAACATAACATTCATTCTTAAGCAAAACTCTAAGCACCATATTCAGTTTAAATCATGTGCTTCCTTAAGCAACATTTCCAAAGATTCCAGGGGCGTTTTGTTTGAATAAATGCTAAATAAAAACTGAGTAAGGATTTCTTAATTCAAATCTTAATTCAGCAGAAGACTTTCCACTAATTTCAGTGGAAATTAGCATCTAGTGCATTAAAAAGTTAGTCACTGTTTTCTCATTTTGCAATTTCTTTGTATTCAGTCAATTTGCTAATGATTATGCAGAAAGTCAGAAGTTCCTTACAAATGGATATCTGGAAAAAAAGAAATTGGAAGACTATAAAGAAGAATATGTAAGTTTATTGTTAGTTTTTAAGTAATAGAAACATGAATATTGGGAAATAAAAATAGTCTAGCTGAGTCTCTGCAAAAGTTATTTTGAAAGTTATATTGAAAAATGTTATTCTAAACCATATTCTGTCTACTCAGTTTACTTCTGTTTTCAAAAGCAGGTTATATATGTTTTTATGCATAGTATGGCATCATGTGTCACTGGAAGTACTATGTGTGTCTCTACTCTGATTATAAAAATGATATGAGGTTCCATGTTTAACACACACAAATGATTTCTTAATGAAACCTGCTCTATTTACAAGTACACAGATGTTTTTGAACTCTCAGCCTTAAAGATTCCTTTGTCCATATTCTCCATATTTGTCCTCAACTCCATCTTTGCAATCCCATTGTCCCAGAAGTTGTAACTGTCAGTCATCAGCGAGTTTGCACGTGTTACCGAGGATAGTGTTTGGTCCATGGGAACTCTGTTACTGCTGATGGCAGAGAAGAAAATAACCCAGTTTGATTGTCAATAGTTAGAGAAAAATCTTGTAAATTGAGCAAACAAACCTGGACCATTCCTTTCTTAGAGTCGCATTTCAGCGTACAACCAAACTATAATGCATCCTGCTTAAAACAGTGGGGCCAGATGTGATCAGCTTTACACAAATCAGAGGCTTCAGTCATGCAAATACACATATTTAACTTTATGCACCATGGGCCACCCCTTGAGCTATTAGGAAATTCTCCCATGCGCAGAGTTAAGGATGTGTCTAAGCATTTGCAGGATCAGGGTCTTAGACTAAAACATCTTTAAGGTGGACTGTTTCTGCATCTGGCTTTTTACAGTCCCCAGCATATTGCTATCTTGATAAAGGGCTCTGGGCCTCAGGGTAATATAAATATTAAATAATTCCAGGACTCTACTGAAATCAGTGGAGTTCCTTAACTAGTATAACAGCATGAAGCACTGTTTTTTTCTGCTGTTGTGTCTTGATACTTATCTTCATTCAAAGTTTATACTTAAGGCTATTACAAGCCAAAAAAAAAGCCAGTTAATTGAAAATGTCATTTTTGGTGAGTAATTATAAACATTACTTGCAGTTTTTATCTCATTCATTATTATGGATATCATTTTCCACTTGCTTTGGAGATAAAAAGAGCAATGGTGCTGCTGCTGCAACTATTTATTCTTATGACTAGTACTTGAAGTGAAGGGGAATTCATCTGACAGTAAACATTCTCAGGATCAAGCACGTGGGAAGACTATCTACATCACTCAAAATGACACTTGAGGGTTAAAAACGGCAACTAAGAAAACAGCAGTTTTACACTGCCATCATTAAAGCACAAATTAATTGCCATTTTCTTTTGTTGTTTCCAACAGCATCCAGGAACTGCGTCCTTTGGAATGTCCGCGTTTAACTTGAGCAATGCCATCATGGGCAGTGGCATCTTAGGGCTGTCATATGCCATGGCCAACACTGGAATTATACTGTTTGTGTAAGTCAATGAAAGGGGGTTCAAAGGTAGAGCAGAAGATAATTAGGACGTCAAAGCTAAGGCTTCTGTGGTTGAATAAAAATGTCTGAGAACACATTCTGTGGTTAAAGATATCTGTGAAGTCTCCACCATTGGAAACATTTAAATTGCATTGCAAAAATCTGTCTAATGCTGATAAAACTCTAATTTCAGCTATGTTTTCAGTTAGACTGTCTTGTGTGAATTCATACTGTCCAGTAAATGCCAGATTGGAAGGACAGCTAACTTCCCCTAAAATAACAGCAGCAACAGTCTCACTATTTCAGTCCAGGCAGTTCCACAAAAGCAATACATTATGCACTGAATTATAAACATATAAACACTATATAGAAATGGAGGCAGAAAACCCACTGGTCATATAGACGTGGAATACATTTTCAGCTCCAGCCAGTTTTGAATAAAAAAGCAGCTACAGATTTATTGAGACTCAGTGTTAACCACTCCTTCAAATCTATTTGTAGCCATGTGCTACTACAGATGACAGCAGTGGCATGTAGATGACATACAGTATCTATACAGGATATGTTTTGATAGACAGCAGCAAATGTCTGCATGCAGTTTTTAATCTATGTTCAACCCTATCAAGGTTGAGAGGGAACATTCTGAAGAACTATTCCACTTCAATAAGTGGCTTTAGTTTTATAATCCAGTTATTGGCTTCAGTCCTCTTTGTTTAGAAAAAGGCCTAGCATGCTGCATAAGCCATTATTTTACATCACTGAAGACAAGTACACCTTCAAATCAGTTTGCAGAGCTTTTTCTGTGCCTGTTCCCTTAATTTTTTTAAATTACATACCAAAAACTCAGAAAGCTTGCTTTGAAATGTTGTGCTGAGGCTGAAGTTGTTAATGGCATTTCCTGTTTTTGCCTGTAGAATCATTCCTCAGAATTAATTTTGGACGCAACTGCTACCAGTTCAGCACCTTCAAATAGGGGGTTAAATACCTTAGAGATAGCAAATGAACCTGCAAAAGTAAAAACTGCTTATTAAAATGAATACTTTAGTACTGAGAAACTTCAAAAAGCATTTTAAGAACTCTAAACTTGAATCCAGAAAACTATCTCAGTAGTATTGGGCAAAAAAGCCACTGTATATGAGCCCAAGCTAGAAAAAAAAATCCATTACACTGTAAATCCATACTGTTCAGGTTCAGCATATTCATAACTGTGGCTACAAAAAAAATCAAATTTAATATATGCACAGTGACGTAAGCCCAGTTATGTTAAAATTTATTGGCAGCCATCAAACAAAATGTCAGGCTTTGCCTGAGGTAACATTTAAGCAGAGCAATAGTGTTCTGTATATTAAAGACAAACATAAACCCCTTTCTCCACCCAGCTGCTCATTTATTTTCCTGTCATAGTTTCATACTTTGTGGATGAGAACATTCTTCTCCTCATGGGATAAAGTCTTATTTAAAAGTGGAGAACTATGTGGAGGATATGGTTACTTTGATGGCATGCGTATGTTTGCTATACATTCTTCTGTTTTTATAGAGCATGACTTCAGCTTTTAATGGAACTGAAAAAGTCCATTTGTTAAGAGAAAAAAAATGAACTAATTTTAATTCAGATAATATTTTACTGTGTTCTCAGATGGCCCTAATTCTCTCTTTTTGGGAGATTTTTCATAGACAGGGAAAGGAAGGCTCCTATAACTAAGCAAATGTATTCTTCCCTTGTGGGGAATAGATTCGCAGCTGTACTGGGGAGACATGGGCCTTGCAATTCAACAGCAATAGAAAATTTACTGGGAACTTTGCTCCCAACCCCGTACAGATCCCAAGGGAACCTGACAGTACACAGGCACCTTATAATCCTGCTTTCTTCTTGCAGTATAGCTAATTTAAGAGCTTTCTATCAGTGGTTTGTTATCTGTATTAAACCCATATGGCAACAATCTCATTTTAACAGAAATCTGCTAGTTAACAGCTGTGTAGTTTCCTAGCCTCAGAACAGCATTCTAATACATCTCCAAAAATCTCTGGCAGGCTGAAGGAAGAATGGTATGACAAGAGGGTATACTGCCCAGAGGAAAATGCCTTAAAGTATTAGTTTCTTGGGCCAGTAGTTCACAAAGATAGTGACCACTGAAATAATATAAAATTGTAATTGAATCTGAAAGAAGCAAGATGATAATTAGGATTAAATCTGTTTGAACACCACTAAATGATAGCATACCAGAGAGTGGCTGCTAGAAAGCAAGATTTCCAATGTCGTATGATGTCATGCTCGATACTAGCTTTATGAAATATCTCCTAAAAAATAAATAGGCTTTTAAAGTTAGGCTCTATAATGAGGCAGCTAAGTGTCTTGATTTTCAAAAGTACTGGGTGCCCAAAGGCTTGAAATTGTTACATTTTTTATCAGTTGACTCAAAGGTGCATTATAAGGAAAGGGGTTAAAATTATCTGACAATAAGTGCATGAGAGTAACATCCTGAATCCAGCACAGTCTATCTGTGTGTAGCCCATATGGTTTCATCAGGGCTCTGCTTGAGGGCTGCCATCTGTGTTTGCAAGACTGACATAGAACCAAAGCTCAAATGCATTTAACTCTCTAGACAAAATATTAGATGATGTCCTATATAACATGCACGTCTAACTCAGCACAGAATGTGTAAATAACAGCCTAAACCAGTAATTTTCAACCAGTGTGCGGCAGCACTCAGGGGTACTATGAGGTCCTTTTAAGGATGCTGCAGGTCACCACACAATATTAGCAATGTTAATTGTGTAAACACCTACACACAATTCACAAGATAAACTCAGGGATTTCAAGTAGGAATCCATAGAATCATCAAGATTCTGACCCATTGTGGACTTTCTGAGTTGGCTACAATAGAAGAATTGTTCTGTTATTTTTCCATAGTCAAAAAATGAGTGAAAGCTAAGAATTAGCACTTTCCGGGGGATGCCTTGAGTCTAAGAAAGTTAAGAACCACTGGTCTAGACTCACATCTGCATTTTGCACAAATCCAATAGTCAAATTTGCAAATTAACCTGGGGACAATTTATGTGTTAAACTCATGGAGAGCCATACAGTATATATTATGTTAAGTCAATTTAGCCTTTTTATTGCTAGCTGCAGAATTCTAATTTGTGTTCTGTCTTACAGAGTTCTGCTGCTCAGTGTAGCGATATTATCACTCTACTCAGTTCATCTTTTATTGAAGACAGCGAAAGAAGGAGGTATGAGGAGCAGTCTGCTAAATGAAAGCTCACATTGCATGCACTTACTTCTCTCTTAAAAGTGATTAATAAAGTATGTTTTTACAATGGATCATGTTTCCTTTTGTTTTTTCCAGGCTCAATAATATACGAAAAACTAGGAGAAAAGGCATTTGGATGGCCTGGGAAAATTTGTACTTTTATTTCTATTACAATGCAGAATATTGGAGGTAAGGATAAAATGTTCACATAATGAAATGTTTGAATCAATATTTTTCTTCAGAATAAAAATACACACTGACCTTTCTTGGTAAGCACACCCTCATGTCTCTAAAGTAGTTGCCATTATGGACTACACGTGGTCCAATATATGATCCATGATGGTGTTTGTAGCAAAAGCAGTTACATTACTTAGACCTCACACAAGGCTCTTCACAATGCTCTCAGTAGCTGATTTCCACCTGAACTGTTTCCATATAAACCATGTTTTATTTTGCGTTTGGTCCCATGAAATGATGAACACACTCAACCCCCACAGATTCAAGAAACAATCTAGATCAGCACTGCCCAACTTCAGAGCACACCTCACAGATCGTGGGCCCTGGGCTGCACACTACAAGGCCTACATGCTCCAGGGACCACACATGCTGGTGTCTCCTGGAGACCCTACCATGTGAGGCCACCCTACCACATGAAGAGCATGTCCCCACACCCCTTCCCTACCCTGCCTCACCAAAGCTAGCATGCAGACTTGACAAACCCCCTCCACTGCATTGATGGCAAGTTTATCTGGCCCGCACCCGCCATGTTTCCCTGCCCCAGAAACCTTGACCACCATTGGGGCAGCAGGAGCAATGTGGGGAGTGGCAGCTAGGCAGGAGCTGGCAGGCCACAAATTAACCCCCACAGGCCTGATTGAGAGTACTCAGCACTTTGCAGAATCAGGTCCCAAGAGCTCGATCCTGAAGCTGTTGTCCACAGATGCGGATACCAGACATTGGCTGACAATTTCTATAGGCCAGAAGAACAAAGGCAGTTTGACACTTACCATATAGCTGTGGTTCTCAAACTCTTTTAGGTCACATACTACTTTTAAAATTGTGACACTGACATGTGGCTCTCTGATTCCATGTTACACCTTACCACCACCTTAAAAGACTTAGTGAAATTATTCTTCATTTTATTCATTTTACTTTCTTTTCTCGTTTATATTTCCCCTTTTCCTTCTGCTTTCCCTTTCCCTTCCCTCACATACTCACTTCACTGCATACCCCCAAAGGTACATGTACCCCAGCTTGAGCAACTCTTTGTACGGCAAGTTTCTTAACAGCCAGATGTACACTTTGCAAATCCCTGTACTATGAAAGGATATTATAAGCTCTTCTCTTCTGATTAGCATTGACCCTTAGAAAACTCCCTCCATTGTCTGCCCTTCCTCAGTGAAGCCCCAGTACCAAACAGAGCTTAACTTAAAATGAATTTGTTCTGCTGATGGGACAGGAATAATCAATTCTCCAGACCCAGAGAGTAAACATATGAAAATCAGAAACGCTCAGTTGAGGAGAGACATGGTCAAGGCTGACATGGTTATTATGAGATAAGAATGGAGAGTCCATTAGACGGGCAGAATGTACAGGATGCTCAGCAGTTCATCGGAGCAATAGCAAAGCAAAGGGAATGGTTAAGAACACAGAAGCCAGCATGACAACAATGCAAACTGGCCATTTATTTAAAAATAACAAATCATTTTCTAAAGCTGAAAGTTAGACACTTTCCCAACAAAAACAATTATCTGCAATAAAGAGGGGACATCAAGTTTACAACTGTTCATTCAGTTTCCATTTAGGGCACTCAACTGGTAATTTCAGTGCCAAAATATGAAACCGGGACCATAACTTGAGGTAGATAAACCTGAAGTAGTAGTTTACTCGTCAGTGAAAGAGGATTAGTATGGGTAAAAGAATGCACACAGACAGCTGGCATACAGCAGCTGACACCTGTTAAATCCCCACTATCTTTTACATGGTAATTAATTTACCTGTACATAGTCATAAGGACCCATTTCTAAAAGCTAAACTGCAATTGCTGTCATCTGCATGGTCACACAGTGTAGTGCATTTAACTGAAATCTGTTTTCAAAACGGTATGTTATTTTTGTCATTTTTATCTTTAAAAACAAGAATAGAAATAATATTTTATTTGAACTGTGCCACTTTGATACTTAGCTGATGTGTTGTTGTTTCAGCAATGTCAAGCTACCTCTTTATTATTAAATATGAACTTCCTGAAGTAATCAGAACATTTCTACGGCTAGAAGAGAATTCTGGGTATATTTTTTACATTTTTTAAAAAATTTAAATGGAAACATTCCATTTAACCTGAGCAAAAATGACTAATTGTGTTCTTTTCCTTTCCCTCTTCAGAGAATGGTACCTAAATGGTAACTACCTCGTTATATTTGTGACAGTCGGAGTAATTCTTCCACTTTCTCTTCTAAAAAGCTTAGGTAAAACCATTTACCTATTGAAAACGTGTCATATAATTTCTTCCATCACTAACTGATCTGAATTTACATGTGATTTAACTGCATTTTTTTTCTTGTTTCAAAGGTTATCTTGGCTATACAAGTGGATTTTCACTGTCCTGCATGGTTTTCTTCCTAAGTGTGGTAGGTAGCTGTATGGCATATATCACTAGCTATGTGGAAAAAAATGGCATTTTAAATAATAGGGTAAATTTATATATTTTCCTGTACTTTTAATTACCATTTAATATTTATATTACTGCAACCCCTAAAAGTGAACTTCCTGGAGGGTCTGTCACACTATGCAGTACATGTAATAATACTTACTTGACCCAAATAGTTTGCAATCCAAAAAAAAGATAATGGGAAATAAGACTAAAGCCAGGTCAAGGCTGAGGATGAAGTCATATTAACAGAAATAATGGGCAGTACACTGCTTTTAGCCAAAAAGGAGACAATAATCAGTTAATCACACCTTGGCCACCTTCACATTTAACAGTTAAAACTGAAAATAATAATCACCCCTTCAAAGTTGGACCCTTGTGAGGATATATTCTATTCTGATTGTAGGTCATCTACAAGAAATCCCAAATACCTTGTCCTATCCCTTCCCTGGAAAATGCTGTTGGAAACTGGACCTACAACAATAACACAGTTCCAATGCACTTGGTAATGTTACCAAATAAGTCTGCTTATTCTGGAGTTAATTTCATGATGGACAACACACATGGACATACTACAGGTCTTGAAGAGGCAGGAGACCTTCTACCCAAAAGTGGAGTGGAGTATGAAGCCCACAGTGAAAGTGATGACATGTGCAAACCACAATATTTTGTGTTTAACTCACGGGTAAGTTAGATTCCATGGAATAATTATATGGCCATTAACTCCAGCCTGAACACAAGAGATACAATAGGAAATGCTCTTGCTAAACACACAGTGGATGTTGTGTTTTTCAGACTGCCTATGCAATACCCATCTTGGCATTTGCATTTGTGTGCCACCCTGAAGTGTTACCAATATACAGTGAACTTAAAGAGTAAGTTGGGGTTTTTTTAATTGTTTCACCCTTCAATCATTAACCCAAGAAAAATTGTCAGGATCACTTTATAGATGCCCTTCATTAATCAGTGACGTATCAATTCATCTATTCATCACATTCCATAGTAATCAAATATTGATTCTGCTTATTGAATAATAAGCACATATTGATAATGAAACATAAATCACAAGCATTGTTCTAAGATTCATGTAGGTCAACGTGTACCTTAAGAGACAATATCTGTTTTCTGGTTTTCAGAAATATTTGACAGCAGAAATTTTGAGAACACTTCTGTTGTGGTAATATAAATAACATAAAATAGCATCTAAAATACTGCTGGAATTGTAACACCTAAAAACATGTTAATGAGCCAGGCCCTAATCCTTCAGCTAGGTCAGTTAATGCTCACTCTTAAACCTTTTTGGAGTGAAATTGACTCTAAATGGACATAAGAGGCTGCTCTGAAGGATGTGGCAACAAGAATAAGATTTATACCAAGTAGCAAAGTGTTCTGATACAAATCGATTGGCTGTAGCATAACTTTGGGGGAAATTGGTGATTCACAAGAATCCAATCAGGCAGAGTATTTTCCAGGATGCAACTGTGTTTTATATTGCTCCCTAACTTAGTATAGTTGATCTCTGAGGAAGGAGGTCTATTTGTGCCTCAAATTCCCTGCAGTCATAGTTTAGATTTTCTCATAACAATTTTAACTGATTGATCACTTAAAGAGGAATTGTTCTTACCTGCTCTTTAGTAGATCACAGACCCTGCAGCAAGGTTCTCCCTCAGTGTAGGGCTTTGCTTATGCCAATGAAACCACTGGATTAAAACCTAGAATTATGAACAATGATTTTTTAAGTTTTAATACCTACACTTTATCAAGAAAACTGTTCAAAGTTTATGTTATATAACAAGTAAATATAATAAAATGTATTCAGTTACATGTTACCACTGTCAAATAAGTAATGGAAATAAAATCTTGATATATACCAGTGATCCTGAGCTGTTCTATATAGTGTGATGCAGAGGCTTGAAACAAAAAGTTTTACAACTCATATGACTTTTTATAATATTGATTTAAATTTAGTTGCTCTGAATTCACCAACTAGCAAACTAATGTTAGCAGAATGCTTCACTAATAGCTTAGACTTTTCTAGTAGACAATGTATAGATGTAAATAACCTTTACACGTATACATTTAAATAAACTTTACAAACAATATGCACTATTATTCTTCTCCTACCCCAGCCGATCACGAAAGAAGATGCAGAATGTTTCAAACATGTCCATCACTGGAATGCTAATCATGTATCTGCTTGCTGCTCTGTTTGGTTACCTTACCTTCTACGGTGAGTTAATGGCTTGTTCTCTGTAGAAATTTCTGTCTTCTTTCAGAGATTAACATTAAGAGTTGTATGTCTCTTGATTTTGAGCATTCAGTAAAGAAATAGCCCTAGATTTCACACTTTGACTTGGCCAAATTAAACAAAGCTAGCTGTGTTAGAAATACACTAATGCTCAACAAGTATTACTTTTGCTCACTTTTGCTCTACATCTTACACCATTGATACCACTGGTTCAGCTTCAACTTTGCAAAAACATCTTAATGAAAGTGTTCTAGTATAGAATATTACTGGGACTACAGAGACCATTTGGTGTATAGACAGTGGTCTATATATATTACAGCTGTTACACTGTCACTTTGCATCTTTTTTTCCACCTTTTTTAATTCCCCCATGATAGCACAGAGGCATGATGGCACAGAATAGTTAGTACTGGGTGCATCTACATGAGACGCTTTACTGAGTAATAGACTAATTGCTGAGCAGTAAAGTGTTACAGTCTACAGTGCGACTAACTGTGCTGCCGGATAGTCCCATCAGATACAAGTGGTATGTGGCAGTGCAGTAAATTACTGCACTTAAACACACATGTAGAAAGTGATGTTGAGATTAGTTTACTCTGGCTCAAATTGAGCCAAAGTATATTCAGTCACATTAATTGCACATGTAGATGCACCCACTGAGCATCAGTACTGCCCATGGGCTCCCTTTTCAAGAGCAAGTGCCCACTTCAGTTTAATGGATAGGTTGCCAGTCTGGAAGCTGGCAGTTTTTCTCCCAGCTTTGCACTTCAGGTCCTGGTTCAGGAAAGGTGTTTTATCCCTCTGCTCCTCAGATTCAGACTCTGTTCCTTAGTTTTCCCATCAGTAAATTGAGGGTAATACACCACTTACCATGTGTGTAAAATAAATTGGGATCTCCAAATGAAAAGTATCATCCGAAAATGAAGTGCTATAACTACCATCGTCATTTCTACCATGGAAAGGTTGCCTTTGCACACTCTGAGGGAAATTGGTTTCTTTCTGTTTAATCAATAACACACAACTGACTACAGAGGGAAGGTCGTGGCTTTATTGGTTTCACTAAATTATAAAATCTTCATTCTGAGACTGGTGATTTTAATGTATTTTCATTTTCCTTTGGCAGGAGAAGTTGAAGATGAATTACTTCATACCTATACCAGAGTGTATACTTTTGACACCCTTCTTCTGATGGTTCGTGTAGCAGTGCTAGTAGCTGTAATGTTGACTGTGCCCATAGTCCTTTTTCCTGTAAGTAACCAGAACTTTTGAATGTGAAATCTGGGCAGCCCTTGTAGGGAAAATATATTTAACAGCACTTACATTGTTATTAAATAACATTTAACAGTTAATATTTTTATCAAATAGTATTTACATTGTTACAAATGTTATTTACTACAGTATACTAAATAACATTTACACTGATTAAATCCTCTTTAATGTTTACAAGCACTAAACCCTAAGACTTCTTTTGTATACTTTCTCTGTTTTCTCCTTTATTTTACCCTAGGGGCAAGGTCATCTGCTTCTGGTTAATTCAGAGAACATAACATTAAAGTAGTGCAATGACACCTAAAGAACTCCTATTTAAGACATTGCCACACTCCCTACATACTGTATTTGACAGATTAGCAAAGTGAGGCTGATAAGGCTAGTGATCTTGAACAACTTTTTCACATAGTTCTGGCACATACCAGCTTTCAGGCTAGTGCTGTTTTACTGCCCCATGGGTTCACTAGACACTGGAAGAACTTTCTTGTCCATGTCCCCTCTGCACCAGACCATTCCCAGGAGTATCAGAGGGAAATGTACCTCCCCTTTACTCGTAAGCCAAATTCTGCAAGTGAGGTAATGAGGCCTCCTTGAAGTGCCTCAGGCATTCACGCAGCACCATTCCTCGGCTCTCTGCCTCAGGCATGTGTACCAGCTACATTGCCTCATTTCTGGGATTGACCTGGAAGCAGTGTAGATAAGCCCTGTGTCAATGATTGAAAAGCTCTTCCCAGAAGAACTAATTGTGTGTGGAGACATTAGGAATCACATAAAAGAGAAGCAATATCAATAAATAATCAGAGAGTGTAAAATAAACCTCAGACCCTGGTAGAAGGTGGTAGAGCTTTATTTCTGAGCCCAGGACTCCTCCTGGAGCCTGAGCAGCAAAACTTTAGATTAGGTCCATGTTGGCTGAGTCCTCAAGGTCAGTCCAAAAGGCATGAGGCCATGACAAAGAAACAAAGAATAGGAAAGAGTGCGGGAAATGGTAGAATGAGGGGGAATCTACAGCCCTGTGGCCTGCCCCTCTATTTTCTTGGAAATCTGTACTGGCATTATCACTCTTAGCTATTATAGTTGGGTCTCAGAACTGGAGAGGAGGCAAGGCCCAGGGGAGAGAAAGTGAAGGAGCAACCCTGATATGCATTTCTCAGGCACTAGGGATAGGGACAGACATTCAGAAAGCCTGGGCCTGAATTGATTCAATCTTTGCAGGTTAGTCTAACCTGGCTAAGCTGAATCAGTTTGTAACTACACAAACATCCCAGAAATGCAGGCACATTCCTGTAGTGGCTCAGGCTAGAAGCCAGGGGCGCTAGTGCAGCCCTCTCTTCCCTTCCACACTGCTAAGCTGAGGGGGGCATGGCCAGGCCCCAACAGGACGCTCTGATTAGGGAGCCCCCCCCCCCCTCCTTCTGACCAGCCCAGCAGGGAATTGATAACACAGTGTTTATCACCCCTAACTCAGTGTTTATCACCCCATTAAGAAAACAACAGAGGGACATTACCAGCTACCTGTTGATTCTGCCTTTGTCCTGTCTGCCACAGCATGGACCATAACCAGCACGTGGTCTGCTAGCTAATGCTGAGAGGTGTCTGTGTAAGGCAGAGGGGATGGCGGAATCCCTGCTTAGCTGGGAGTGGGGAGGAAAGGGGAGGGGGGAGCAGGGGAAAGGCAGGCTGATGCATCTCAAGCAGGGCCAAGGAGGTGATCCTCCCCCTCTATGCGACACTGGTCAGGCCACAGCTGGAGTACTGTGTTCAGTTCTGGGTGCCGCACTTCAGGAGGGATGTGGACAGCATTGACACGGTCCAGAGGAGGACCACCTGCATGATCTGGGGACATCAGGGCAGACCTTATGAAGAAAGGCTACAGGACCTTAACCTGTTCAGCCTTCACAAGAGAAGGCTGAGGAGGGACTTGGTGGCTGTCTATAAACTCACTAGGGGGGGACCAGCAAGTTTTGGGAGAGACCTTGCTCCCCCTAGCGCCCCCCAGGCTAACAAGGAATAATGGCCACAAGTTGTTAGAGAGTAGGTTTAGACTAGACATCCAAAGGCACTACTTCACAGGGCGCCTAGGATGTGGAACCAACTTCCAAGGGAAGTGGTGATAGCTCCTACCCTGGGGGTCTTTAAGAGGAGGCTTGACATCTACCTGGCTGGGGTCATTTGAGCCCGGTTTTCTCTCCTGCCCAGGGCAGGGGGTCAGACTTGATGATCGACAAGGTCTCTTCCGACCCTACTTCTATGAATCTATGAGTCTCTGCCGAGCTCCAGCCAGGGGGCAGACGGGAGGGGCCAGCTCTGCTGTGGAGCAGAGAGCCCCACCCGGCCCAAAGAGCATGCCGGGATGCTGGGGGAGTCTGGTTTAACTTAAACCAGGAAGGAGTCTGGGACAAACATTGCATAAAACAGTTTGACCCAAATCAGTTAAGTCTGGAACTACATTCAACCAGGTTTATCTCAAACTGGTTTCAGCCATTTTCAAACTGGTTTATGTGTACAGAGCATCTGTTCTGTTACTGATTTAAACCAGTTTCTGATTATTTAACCAGTTTATGTGTAATGTCTGTCCCTAGCCAAGAAGACTTTAAGCAGAGCTCCACATAGGACTTAATGCACATAAATGGGATAGTGCACAGCTCACATTACAATAGCATAAACTGAGTAACAGCTTGGTTTCCAAGGGAATTACTAGTAAGAGGAAGGGTCAATCTTCAGGGATGCCTGTACTTCTACAGGAACAACTAGGATCATAGTTTCATAGTTTCATAGTAGTTAGGGGTCAGAAGGGACCTGAATAGATCGTCTAGTCTAACCCCCCGCCACTGGCCGGAGCACACGCTGCGATTACATGACCCCAGACAGGTGTTCATGCAACCTCTTTTTGAATTTACCCAAGGTAGGAGTGAGGACCACTTCCCTAGGAAGTTGGTTCCAGATCCTAGCCACCCTAACAGTGAAATAGTGCCTCCTAATCTCTAACCTGAACCTATTCTCCAGCAGCTTCTGGCCATTGTTCCTCATCACCCCAGGTGCTGCTGGGGAGAATAGGACCCTTCCTATTTGCTGCTCATCTCTCCTAACGAGTTTGTAGGCAACCACCAAATACCCCCTCAGCCTCCGCTTGCTGAGACTGAACAGATTCAGGTCCCTCAGCCTCTCCTCATAGGGCCTGCCCTGTTGCCCTCCAACCACGTGGGTGGCCTTCCTCTGAACCCTCTCAAGGCAGGCCACATCCTTCTTAAAGTGTCGTGCCCAGAACTGGATGCAGTACTCCAATTAAGGCCAGACCAATGTCGCAAAGACAGGGAGTATCACCTCTCTGGACTGGCTTGAGATGAATCTTTGGATGCGCAACAAGGTGTGGTTGGGTTTGCTGGCTGCAGTCTGGCATTGGCGGTTCATGTTCATCTTGGAGTCAATAATGACTCCAAGATCCCATTCTGCCTCTGTGCTCTCAAGGGGGGAGCTCCCCAGCTTGTATGCATGCTGTGGATTCCTTCTTCCCAGGTCCAGTACCCTGCATTTATCTACATTGAACCATATCCTATTACCATCCACCCACTTCTGTAGTCTGTCTAAATCTAATTGCAGCCTCTCTCGCCCTTCGAGCATGCCTACCCCTCCCCATATCTTGGTGTCATTGGCAAACTTGGACAACGTGTTTTCCACCCCCTCGTCCAAGTCGCTGATGAAGATGTTGAACAGTGTAGGCCCCAGGACTGGGCCCTGGGGGACCCCACTATTCACATCCTGCCAGGTCGAGTACGACTTGTTCACCACCACTCTCTGGGTGCACCCCATCAGCCAATTTTTGACCCATCCAACTGTGTAGGCATCAATGCCACAGTCACTCAATTTATTAATGAGAATGGGGTGATAGACAGTGTTAAAAGTCTTCTTAAAGTCCAGCACAAGTGGATCTTTGAACTCTTTGATATACAAGGCTGTGCCTCCTGTTTTTGCTGCCCTGCATGAACTCCCCATGAATGGGAGGAAAGGGCCAGTCTTTGACAGGAGACTTCACATGATTTTTTGTATTATCGTGTAGGCAGTAGTGGGCATGCCCAGAGGACCAAATTCAATACCACATTACTAACAGAGCTCCAGCAAACCACCCCTTACAGCTGCAGCTTCTGGCTGATCTGATCACCAGTCTTGGGCTCCTTGATTTACTGCTGCATAATAGCTTTAAAGGGATATTTTGAATGACAAGTCCTGAACAGACTATATAACAGACTTCCTGACAAGTAATTAAAACTAGTGACACAAGGTAACTTGCAAAGATATAAAACTGAGGTCCTGAGGAATGTTGTTAAGAGAGGTTAGTGTATAACTCCTATACAATGCACACAAAATAGCTCATTGAGCTACCTTGGATTAATCCCTACTGCTCACTTATAAAATCATTGTTATTCCCATGTTCAATTAGCCTTAACTGGCCAATCACTTTGCAGCTGAAAATATGAAAAAAGAATTTATTAATAGGATTAATAAGATTATTACATAAAAACCTATACTTGTCAGGTTTTGCATTTTATATTTTTTATTTTATATGTATTTAGTCTTAAATAACAAATAAAGTGCAGGGGACTGAACCCGACGATCTTCCAAGGTCCCGTCCAGCCTTACAATCTATAAATCTAATAGGGCAGTGTGTTTTAGCAAAAAAGATACAAGTGTCTAAGTTTTAGCGAAAAAAACCACCACAGCAATAATGGCTTTATATAGATAATGTCAGAGGAACTGTCTGTTAGCCTAACCCCAGTGTACAGCAATGCTTTCTATGACCCATCAACCTAACCAACTCCACATTGCTGAGGAAGTCATTCTTTTGTATAAACATCATAGAATTAAGTGCGAAATGTATGCCAAAAAGTTTTTGTCTGTACTTTTCTTTTTAAGAACTATTACATTCATTACTCTTATTGCTGGAATTATTTATAAAGTAATCTTTAAAAAATATGCATTGCATATGACAGCTTAATTTAAAACTCTAGCACTGCATGGTGTGAATTGTCATTTAAATATAAACAAATGAGCCCATTTTCAAGTGAAGCATCATGACAAGGATGCTCCACTAGAATCTGGAACAAGTTGGGCGCATCCAGGCAAGCGTGGACACTTGGTTCCCCAGGGACAAGTTAACAGCCGTGCAACTTGTGCCGCAGCTACGTGTCCCCAGGGAACATCCATGCCATGTGTGCTTTGGTGCGCAACAAGTTACCCCTAGTGGGGTGGGGGAAACTGGGGTCAGCACCATGTTGGCCCCAGCAGCCTTACCTGGGGTTCTGGGGAACTCCCAGGGCTGCAGCCACAGTACTCCTGCCCAGTGGAGCCCAGCCAGCAGCCACAGTGCAGCTCTAAGCAGCCTTGCTCCGCTTTTCAGCACTGTGCGCTCCCCGAGCGTGCACTGCTTGTTTCTTTTTCCATGGGTTTTTTCCGTGGGATATCCAGTGGTCAAATAAAAACCCACAGAAAATAAAAAATGGAGCAGCACATCCTCGGGCAGTGTGCTGCAAGGAAAAAACACGAAGAACACCTGTGCAGTATGTGGCACTGCAGACATGTTTGCACAGCCAGGCTTGTCTGGATGCACTCACTGAAGGACAAGAAAAGAGCTACCTGGCGCTCTCAGTTCAGCTGGAGTAAATAAGCATTGTTCTTTTAAGGTCTTTTAAGGCTTGTGGAGATGTCTGTCTGCTGTTTGATTCCATTTTATTTTTAATCCACCTCTTTTCCCACCAGCAAGTCAAGTAAACCTGAAAAAAAACTATTTTTTCTTAATGTAAAAGCCCCAAGTTGGACAAAAATCCATGCACTTAGTGAACTGCCAAGCAGGAAAGATTTTGCAGATCTATTTTTAAAGTGTAAGAATATTTCTTGTTTTGCTTCCAACCTTAGAATCTCCTTTTGCCCATGTAACACGATCTGCTGTTACCAAATGGGGTTGCCACTGACCTTTTACCTACTGATTATATCTGCTACTACAACAGTAAAGTAACAGTGTTCAAATCTGTCATAAAGTTGTGCATAGCTGTGAATTCAGTTATAAATGGGATGATTGTCAGATTTGTTCTCATATTCTTAACATGTAAAAAAGTAGATTAAGCCTATTCTTGTCAAAGCCAGTGACAAAGCATTCACATTCGTTAGTCTGCAAGTGACGGGGGTCAGGTCCAGATCACTAGCATTTCATGCATATATTTTTCTTCTGCCAATTATTTTTTTGTGGTGGAAACTTTTCAGAGGGGGTGGGGGTTACTGATACCATCATTTTAGTTGCACAGATTTTAGCACCCTGATTTTTACACCCTATTTGCTTTTCTTTCCTCAACGTGATAAATATTTGAGTTTCTACACTAAACTGTGAACCCAGCTCTCAACATGACAGCAGGTTGGGAGAAGGATTGTGTTCAGGGAAGGAAATAAATGAAAATAGATTTCTTGACTTAAAATGTTTCATTGCAAGAAGAACTAAAACAAATCTTCAAGGAAAAAACAGAAGCAAAATTAAGCATTTTCTTTTGTTTTTCCTCTTAATTTCTTGTAACAGATCCGTTCATCAATCTCTACGTTGTTATTTCCCAAAAGGCCATTCAGCTGGATAAGGCATTTCCTGATTGCGGCTATAATTCTCGCTTTTAACAACCTACTTGTCATTTTTGTGCCAACTATTAAAGACATCTTTGGATTCATCGGTAGGTTTCATGAGTATTTTCAGCATATTACTTTAATCTCTACCAATGCGGAAATGTCTAAACTCATATCCTATGAGGAACTCTGGCTTTCCATACACTGAGGAAACCTCAGTGCTTTTATTCCTGATTTTGCAGCAGAAACAGCAAAGGGGAGTAAAAGCTGAAAATGGCTTACAGACAAAGCTAAAGAACACCAAACTTTGTTCATCAGCCAAAATTGGGCACTGAGTACCTAACTGACCTCTTCAATCTTTTTCAGATTTGACAAGCAAAAAAACATAAACACTTCCCTTTCTGTTTAAAAACAGACAAAATCTTATTCTTGAATTTTTGCTTTTTTTTTCTTCTCATTTTTCAGCCATCTGTAGAGCTGGTCAACATTAACAGGATTGAATTTAAAAAATGGTGTGGGGGGAGAGGGAAGCAGGAGGATCGTGTTTAAAATTCACAATTCTCCTTCCCATTTTTTTCAGTCAGTTCTAAAATGTAGCCACTGGATGCATCTACACATGCTGCTAATGTGGTGCAATGAACTCTGGAGCACTTTCAGCTGGAGTCAGCTGCTCCTGGGCACAGCATCTAAATGCATCTCTGGCACAGCAGCATTTTAAACCAGGGTGGAGCTGACCTGACCTGGCAGCAGGTTCAGGAGGGTCAGCCCTGGGCTCCAGGTGGTGGCATCAAGTAGCAGAGGGGATGGCTAGGGCACAAGGGTACCAAACACACACAGCCATGTGGCTAGACAGAAGCCAAGAGTCTGGCCTTTGCCTGGTCACTGTCTGCACATGTGTTTCGGTGCAGTTTATTAGTCCGCCATAGGATTGTACTGTCTCCAACAACAGAGTTAGTTAGTTTCCTGTGCCCTAATACCAGCACATGTGTACACTGTGATGCTTTAGTCCGGAGCTAATTAGTCGCCTCCACAGTAAAGGGCACGTGTAGATGTACCCAATGACTAGCATCTCTGTGCTCAGTGTAGGCTGAGGAGTCAAGGGAAGGCAAATACTCCTTAACAAAGGTTGAACGTACTGCCCTGGTCTGCTTGACATTTTTAATGATTTTTAAGGCAGCTATAGTCTGAAAGTATGTCCTGCTCTGCAGAGGACCTGGGAGACTCAGCAGATATGGCCAGTACTGTACCCTGTAGTCAATTTTTGTAATGTATTGGAAAACTTTTATTTTGAATAAATTATATTATGCTGTGAGAATAAATAACTGTATATTCACTTACACAGCACTGGGTAAAGTCAGACCAGTGATGAAAAGAATAACTTTCCTATCCTGAGGTTAGAAACAATTACCGAAAGCAAGTCTGAATTGAATCAATTGTTAGATGGAATCACTGGCCCATGCCTGCAGTTTACTGTAATGTTTTTAAAGGCTTGTGGAAGTTTGTTCTAATTTGTAAGGGCACAAATGTGGGGTTGGGGCTGGGGGACCACACATCCCACATTCAACTAGCAGTCCCATTTTAAACACATTGGTTTTGTCCAATTAACATTTGCATCCCACACACCCCACCATCACAACTCTTCAGAATACACAGCTGAGACCAGAACTTGGAGACAGCTGAGCATGTCAGAAAGCTGAAAGGGAACAAAGGCTCCCATTTTGAGACTCAGGGGATATGGTCACCCTGGGCATGAGGGCACTTCTGGACACATTCAATTGACTATGTAAAAACGGCCCACAAAGCTCAAAGAAATAAATACTCTGCTCTGCCCTCTTCCTTATTCTCCCACATATGGGGCCTAATTCAGATCTTTTTAATGTAAAATAAAAGTTCACCCTTGGCCAGAGAAGGGCTTTTTCACCTGAAGGTACATATATGAGAAAGTTAGAAGTAGCTGAAAAAAAGATGTACTAACGAAGATATTTGCCCAGCCTTGGTAATACCCTGTAACTAAACCCACCAGTTATCATTTCTGTTCTGTATAATGTTGTGCTCATTTACATACTGTTCACTGATTAATTATGGTTCCTTCAGGTGCATCTGCTGCCACAATGTTGATTTTCATTCTTCCTGCTGCTTTCTATTTACGACTTGTCAAAAAAGAACCTATGAGGTCACCACAAAAGATTGGGGTGAGTCACATGGGAGGAAACAGAAGACAAGGGCCATTGAATTTTTTTTGGTGGTAATGGTTGTTTTGGGTGCTCTCATTATGAGCACATACTACTTTTGTGAGTTTTACAAATGCCTTCCAATAAGATAATTACACATGCTAGGGCTGTAAGATGTTGCCATATTTTGTAAACATGTATATTTGCATGTATATGAATTGTAATGTTAGCTTTTAATCAACAGGCAGAGGTGACCAAAAGAGAGGTCAAAGATCTGTCAGAAAAGAAAGCAATAAAAGTTTCATACTAGTTATGTTCAGAGCATTAATTTCTTTTCAGAGATGTTTAGGGTGAAATAATAGCCCTACTAAACTCAACAGCAAAACTACTGATATCAGTGGGGCCATAATTTCACCTTTAAATTGTTATAAACAAATGGCTCATATACTACTTCTAAGTGGGGCATCTTACCATAATTTTCACACAGATTTTAGCCACTTTGCAGTGAAATTACCCTCAACATAGTTCTTGAATTAGCAGTATTTGGCTATGTGAACATTGGACTTGAGTGGAATTGGCAATTATAAATGTAAGCATTATCTTATTTTGGGTTCAGGTGACCATTATACAATCAGAAAAAAATAAGGTTTGTCATTACAGCATTTGCAGAAAATCTGCCAGTAGTTAAACAAATAATCATGACTGGATTGTAATGGGTGTATGTGGGTGGTCTGTCCTGCCCCTGTACACTACAAGTGATCAATATAGGCATAAGGGGGTAGCTTGTACTGATGCTATTTATATTACAGTTGTATCAGTTTGTCTGGGGCATAATAGAATTTCATTATTTTTGTAAACATGGATTTGAGAAACAATAACATCAGAAACAGACAGGCATAGGTGGTGATGAGCTAAATGACAGTGTTTACTTAGATCAAAGCGTACTTTAAAATGCAAGTGAAAGGCATTTACTTACCATAGCATAATCTCTGTTTAACACCTGGATGTAATGCACAACAACCATACACTTCAGAACAAGGAGTTTGCTCTTCACAAAAGAAAGTCAGATGTAAATTAGAGTGTAGATTTTAGGCATAAGTTAACAAAGACAGTTCAGTGCATATTAATTGAGATAAATGAGCTTCTGAATGAGGCAGATTAGCAATCCTACAGGAGACTGAAATGGAGACCTATCATTGGTACACAGTGGGCGGGTCTACATGAGACACTATGTTGCCGTAGCGATGAGCTACCGCATTGTAGGTCATCGCTATGACAACGTAGCGTCAGTGGGCACTGTGACACCACTGCTATGTCGCCACACCAATGAGCTACGTTGCCATAGCTTGTTGCTACGGCACCGTAGGGTTGGAAACAACCCTGCTCTGCTGGGACTGCCCAGTATTTTTCCACATTATGCTGGGCTGTAGCCAGTGATCTCAGTGTCCTACTGTCATGAGCACTGATATCTATCAGTTCCTTTGACAAATACCATTAAGAAAAGTGAAAATTGAAATGAATCAAAAGAGATTATGGTAATATATAACTAAATACATATCTTTGTTCACAATGTTTAACTAAAATGCAAATGGTTCCATTCGCATTTATGGAGGGAATAAAAGGGATCAATTGGCCATTACTATATTACTTCTAAAAATCACATATTTACAAATTATTGTTATTAAAGCAAAACTTGGAATATCCCATAGCATATTTCTCTAGGTCTGTAACTTTCAGAACCTAGCAACCTGCATCAAGTTGCACTGAAAGATAGAAAACAACATAATTTTTTACAGAAGCAGCTGGAATGTCCTAAAATTGTCCAAATGCATTAATTAAGGAGTCATTTCAGGGCTAAAGCATGTAATTAGAATCTGTTGAAGTCAACCACCTCACCCTAAGCACCTAACCACATTTAAGCATGTGCATAAATACAGCTTTGAAAAGGAATGGGATGACCTGTATGCTAGCTGCTTTTCAGCACTTAATCCTAGAAGGCACACATGGCCAGTTTTTAAAGGTAAAATAAAACTAAAATACACACATCACATCACATTATCATTCATATTCATGAGGCCAGTCAGTATGAGAAAGGGATTTTTTAGAGTCCCAGTTTGGCAAAGGCACGTTTACATGGACAAAATGCTCCTATACAGAGGCATTTAGGGAGTAAACAGAGTTCATTCTGCCACTGTGCTCATTCAGGCTGTGTCACTGGGGGAGCTACCCAGGATCACTCATGCAAATAGAGATTCCCAGGTTCAGGCCCATATTACATGCATTGTATAATGAGGGACTAGCTTTATTCTGTGATTGACTAGACGTTCACTCATCATCAAATTAATGTGGGATATTTCTTTCCAATTGCAGGCCCTGATTTTCCTCATAGTTGGAGTAATTTTTATGATTGGAAGTATGACTCTAATCATCATGGACTGGATTTACAACTCTCCAAGTTCCAAACATCATTAACCTGTAGAGACGTCAGAGTACTTTTTAGCCTGGAAATATTTGCATATTGTGCTCCAAAAGTCACTTTCTGACACCTAATAGGAATGCTATTTCTAGCTAACAACTGTAATATTCCAAAGACTGTTACTAGGAATGTCACTAGAACACAGTGGAATACTAAATCGTCCTTTTTACAAGGGGGAGTTATTTATGCATTAAAAACCTGTGCTTAACATGTCTAGCCAGGTTACAGTAAGGTGTGTTGTGGATACTTTGTTTTCAAAAGCAAAATAAGAGTAACTGTGTATATAGTTCTCAGACATAGTGTTGTTTTTTTTTGTATTATTATTATACAATAACCACAGTGGCTAGAATACTGGGAACCAAAGTCCTGGCCAGAATAAATTAGCTAGTGCCTTGTTACAACTGAACAACACAGATATGGCTTACATTTGACCCTGCTTTGAGAGCAAGGTCACAATGTTCTCTGAAAAAAAAGATGACCAGCCATTAAACAAAGCTGAGTATTCAGCGTATTGTTACCAGATTGTCACCATTCATACAGCTATTAAAACCTCATTCATAAAGCAAGAGAACAGGCCAGCTTTGGCCTACATCTCAGAGTTGGATCCATGTGAGAAGACACCTGTGCTGATAGGCCAGGGCTCAATCTATGTTGATCACTTACACGACAGGGGGCCTGTATTTAAATAGCAGAACTGCATAATTATCAGTTTGTTATTAAATATGCCTGTGCTGGAAGTAGCAGGTTTGTGGTGTGGGGGCTTTGTTAATTCTTGTACAGGTGTGAGAGCTGATGTCACTGAACAAGTATCCTCCATGTAAACTTGTCTTCCATTATCACTCATAGGGATTTATGGAGACCACAAAGCATATGAGAGCACACTACCCAGTATTGTTTGATACATATGTATTTGATAAATGTTCAGTGCAGGAAACTGTGATTTACTATATATATATAGTAAAGATTATATATATATATAATCTTTTTCTCTAGTTACCAGAATTTTAATGTATGGCACATTATTTTCGATTTTTTTATATGTGTAGATCTCTGTTTTCATAGCGATAAGCTTTATACTATTTTGAAGAAAATATATTGGGTAGATGGATTTGTAAAAAGTTCATTTTTTATGTACCAGTGCTTGAAATATATCTTTGAAAGCCCAAGCCATTACCTGTGTAACAAGACACTCAGATGTTTACTACCATGTAATGTTATAAAAAACTGCAAGGAAACAGGTCTTTACATGCTTTTCTCCACAAAATTGTTAATGTAGACTACTTCTGTATTTTCATTTTATATTACTAATATAAGTAGTTTCTAATATGAATATATTTTAACTTGCACATGTACAACTCCAACTGAATCAACATACAATTAACCTATATAATTCAATACAAAAAGAAAATAACAGCAAGTTTGTTGTTCTAGTGCACTAATGCTCAATTACCCCTCACTATCCTAGAAACTATTGGCCTCTAGGACTTCAGAATTAGTTTGCTTTAGTTTACATCCTGTACATATACCCCACATCCTCACCAGAAAGGGGTACCCTAATTTTACAACAAAATGTCTGCATCCTTTTCATTGATTTCAAAGGGACTGAAAAGTCAGGATATAATTTAGTTGAGGAATTAAATTTGAAAATCTAGTGATAACTCAGCTGCTATGAATAATAGCTGTGGTATGTTTGACTAGCTAGTAAGTTTACTGTAAAACTGATTGTGAATCTGTATGATTTTTAAGAGTAAATTATTACAAAGAAGTGGTCCAAACTGAGCTACATCTTTCAGTGTGATGCTTCCCATCCGTGTATGTACTGTAAATATAGTATCCTAGGCACATTCCACATGTGTGCTGAGTATTAAGAAAAATGATATTTTGTTTAGGATCATCAGTGAGCCTAACAAAAAGAAATGAGCTGCACTCATACAGAACATGTCAATCAACTTAATCAAAGGCCTGATTCTGTAATCCTTATACACACATATACCTGCCCCTCCCTTCCATTGTTACTATTCAAATGTGGAAGAACTGCAGACTTGATTCCAACTGTGTTCTTGGAAGGCAGATTAATCTAGGAACTGAAGTATCTGAATGGAATTCAATCTAACCCACCTGAAATACAACTGTGCTCAAGACATGACACAAACAGTAGTGCTTTTTCACTGCATGACTGTTTGGTCTCGCATAAAAATAGATAAATGATAGGTTAACTTGAACCTGCCATATTTGTGATAAGAAACACTG